AACGCAAGGACTTGTATGATAGATTTGGGGAAGATTTCTATACAAAAGGGTGTGACTGCATGCAGAAAGAGCTACAAGACTGACCAAGGCTCCTTTCTCTTTAGGTTAGAGTTAGATTTTCAACACAGCTGCAGAAACTCAAAGCCCTTATGGTTTGAATATTTATTTTCTATTTTTTCCTCCTAGTTTTGACATTCTATTTTAATTTGTGTTTTTCCTGGTTCTTATTTTTTAATTTATTATTTATATTAGGCTTGTTTTATTGTTTTCCTTGTAAGCCACTTCAGAAATGTTGTGGAACAAGGCAGAAATATAAATAAATCTGTACATGCGGCTTATATATAGGCTAATGCTTTGCAAAAGCAGCCATCAATAAAATGTATTGTCTAAAAAGAAAAAAGTGATGATGCTGGACAGAAGGGTCGCTGAATTGTTATTATCTCCATTACCATTTCCGTTTTCTAATTTTTGAATTAGTTACAGTGAAAATAAGAACAAAGGCTTGTTGGTGGGTTCCCAGGGTAATGACCATAAGAAAGACAAGTCCAAGGACCAAGGATCCATGGGAGCAGCCAAGATTCCAAATGTAATCCTTCTCTTTCTTTTTGTCTTCCATTTATGAGACGGCAGAGCTCTGGAGAAATCTAAGTCACCAGTAGCCATTTGTGCTTCTCTTTCACCTCTTATAAAACCAGAGAAAATGGCAATAAAATCTAAATTCATCCCCTGGATCCAAGGTCCATATTATTTTGAAACCTCACAGTGTCCACATGTTTCACTGTTTCTGATCTGCCAGGGGAGAAGTGTAAAATGGTCAAAGAGCTTCAAGGACATTGACTTCATTTTTCACAGGCAGAAGTCAAACCACTTAAGAACAGTCTTCCTGGTTCTCCTCTGCTGAAAAGTGGAGTTCAACCATGCCTTTTTACAAAGCTAGAAAGTCACCAGCAGCTACCCAGCTACCGTGCAATTAACAGAACACAGGATTGCCCCAACTCCCCTACTGATTCATAGCACCTCAAATGTAGTAGGAATAGGATCAGAGCAAGGGCAGCCGAGTTCTGGGTCCACTGCTGACAATTCCACCTCAACATGTGACCCTAGACAAGTCACTTATGCCTTCTCTGTCATTTTTCATTGGTGATCATTCCTTTTTTTTCTCTCTCTCTCTCTCTCTCTCTCTCTCTCTCTCTCTCTCTCTCAGAGCTAGGAAACCAATGTTGGATAATTTCTGTTGATGCTGAGAAGCAGATCTGGAAGTTAATTGTTTTCTGTTCGTTGCTCCTGTTGAATTGTGTATGTGGCTATTGAAGTACCTCATAATTACCTGTTTACACATCTGGCTGTATGACTACACTAAGAGCCCCTCAAGGGTGGACAAGAGGCCAAATTCATCTCCACATTCCTGAGCTTCTACAGCATAATTTGACACATAGCAGGTGCTCAAAATAGATGATTTTTGACTCTCTCAAAGGAAAGACAAAATTTGATGCTACAACAACAAAATCCTAATGATGTTTAACTTTGAGACAACATACACACAAATGTTAAATTCTTAAAGGAAATTTAAAAAAATCTTCAGAGTTAAAGCACACAGCTTCATGCTCATGTTGCCTTCCAATAATCCTGGAGATTAGCCTTCCAAAAAGCATTAGCTTTTACAGATTTCCTAGCTTATAAAACTAACATTTGCCTATTTAATCTTCACAAAAATTTTGAAAGATAAATTTATTATCTCCACCCTACACAAAAGAAAACTGAGTTGTAGAAAAGTTGAGTTGTCTGTGAGCATAGATAGTGAGGAATTCACCAGCAACTGGGATAAGACTAGGAGGCACCACATTTTAAAAATTAATTCATTAAATAAAGTCACCTGAAGCTGAGTATGGTGGCACACACCTTTAATCCCAGCACTGGGAGGCAGAGGCAGGTGGATCTCTGAGATTGAGGCCAGCCTGGTCTACACAATGAGTTCTAGGTCTTCTTAGATTACAGGGAGACCCTGTCTCAAAAATTACAAAAACAACAAAAATAAAATAATGTCAACTGAGTAAAATGTACAAGGCAGAAAGCTAGGTGCACTAGGGTATAGAGTGTGGTTTGCACACATCTCCAGGACTCACTGTCTGGGAGTTAAAGTCTTGAGTGTGGAGAATAAACAGGAAAGAGATTGAGGCAAGAGCACTAGGGGATAATCCATGGGCCAGTGATTTGTCCTGGGAAAGAGCAATGATGAAATTGGGACAACCTGGGACATTCAGACAACAGGAGCATTAATGGGAGGGGAGGGTGGTGGTCACATTAACAGGAAGCTAAGGGAGGGAAAGGAAGGAGGAGGAAGAGGGGGAGGGGGAGGAGGAGGAGGAGGAGGAAGAGGATAAATAGAACAAAGGGAGGATTAAGAAGCAGCGGGGAAGCAGGGACAGGGGAATCCCAAAACTCACTGGCCGGTCAACCTAGCCTAACTGGCACACACACACATACACACACACACACACACACACACACACACACACACGCACACGCACAC